TCGTCCATCTTCAGGCTAGTTGTGATGCGAGAGCGGACGGTATCGGCTACATCACGGGTAATACGTTCTTTGGAAACATCTTTATCAAGGAGTTTATCTGTAAATAGTAGTCTCATTAGTCTAGAAAACCACCTAAAGCGACAATTCCAGCGATGGAAAAAGGGGACCGGTGGTGAGCGTAGCTCCGTACATACCAGCGAATTTGAGGCCCTTATCAAGAGATGCTTGGGAGGTGTCGATTAAGGCAACAGGAACTTGAGCCTTCTGTGCAGCAACAAGAGCAATTCCCAAGCCCTATTGTCTATGAGATGAGCTCGAAGGCGCTGTGGCGTGACTTCATGTTCTACGTACCATTTGACCTGCCCCAATCACTCCTAATGACTTAACCTCGGCAGCATAAGCCGCAGAGGAACTGCTGAATGCGCGGGACGCAATTGAAGGGCCATTGCGGCAGAGAGGCCGGAGGGACGATGACAGCATTATTAAGGTATTGAAAGAACTGAGTCCCTTATTTAGGAATTGTGATGCTGGGAAGAAAGACGGACAAGACGAGAACAACAACGGCGACGATTGATATACTTCTACTTGAAGTGCACCCGATATTCTTCCGTGCGACTCATGTGATCCGACGTCATCGGTTATCCTCGGCAGTCGGGAACATCCATTCCTCCGATATCCGAAGACCTGAGACGCGAAAACGCGTGAACCGACGCGTTACCATTGGTCACCTGGAGTGCGCCCAAAAGCCATTCTCATTATCAACCTCGGCGATGGTGATAGAAAGTGAGGGCGACGACCGCAAGCACAACTGGCCACCATGAACGACGAAGCTGTGGCTTTCGGTCAAGCTGTTCAAGTTGTAGACCCTGATGTCCGCGCATATGTTTATAGTCTAGTCACTGCGGTGAGGATAGCTACTTCATTGAACACTTTTTATTCGAAGAGATCTAATTAATTTACAGTTAGGCGGATTCAACGGTGAAGATGCGGATCGATACGTACTTGGAGACGATGCACTGGCTTGCTTGCGTGACATTAGACGTTGGCTGAAATTGTACGACGAGAAGTATCACCGCATGGATGTTGCTCGGTGTCTTGGAGAAGCGAATTTGGTCAACGGGGACCTGCTACCGATCTTTTCGCTATGGTGGAGTACTGGTCAAAAGAGTAAATATATGTCCAGGATCGCATTAGCGTGCTGTAAGTATAGGACCTTGCTGTGAGCTTAGACCATTGTATTGATGATATGAAGTGGAATTGCTAGTTCCGTTGACCTGGCCATTGGAAGTCCACGGCGAGATGACTGTCAACCATCACCGACATTTTCCATACTTGCAGCACGCTCAAGTCTCTTATAAACGAGGTCTTCTGAGCCGTGGCAATATCAATTTCCTTCGAACCATTATCCGAATTGGCCTTCCTAGCATGGCCGTTCCACGGTCTGAACGAACAACAAGGGACGACGGTATTCTCAAACTTATGCTCTATTTGTTACGGAATATCGTAGTGATCGCCCCAAATGCTCGTCTTGCGGCGGATGGCGATGAGGAGGAGACTTCTAGATCTGCGACTATCAATGCCTTTCAAGCTCAAGACGTATTTGCCCTCATTCTTACTATGTGTTCCAACGTTGGTGATGACTTCAATATGCAAGATGTAGTCCTTCTCGAGATATTGTTCCACCTGGTGAAGGGTGTCAATGTCGAGAAACTATTCATGGATGATGCCCAGCGAAGCGCAAAACACACAGATGAGCTAGATACCCTGCTGAAGCAGGAGTCATCTCTGCGCCGGGAGTACGCCAAAAATGCACCCACTCGACACGGACGATTCGGAACCATGATTTGGGTCAAACGTGACGATGCTAAGGTTTCTACTGTCTCAGGGCAAGACGTTCTCAAAGATAGTCAGGCAACGCTCCAGAAAATGGATGAAAGCAAGAAGTGGAACAGGCCCCAACCACGCAAAACTCATGAAGACTCGGTTCTCAACAATGACTTTAGCACGCCAGCGCACCTTAACTCCACCGCATCAAAAAACCTGCGGAAGTTTGTTGAAGAATTCCTCGACTCTGGATTCAACCCTTTATTCACCCATGTTCGGAAAGCCTTGGAACGAGAAGCCGACCGTGTCGTACCCATCAATTCTCGTCAATTCTTCTACACCGTCGCCTGGTTTCTGGATGCCGAACGCGCGCGGCGTGCGCGCCAGCAGGAGATGCAGTTACAGAATGGAAAATCCATAAAAGAATTGGAACGGGATGGGTTTGGCCTTGTCGCTAGTGTACTTGACCAAGAAACTCTAGTATTCCTGAACCGATCTATGCAAAATAGTTTCGACCAAAAAGACTGGGAAGATCTAAATGCGGAAATGCGCTGCTTCACTCAAATCTTGCTAACTGTGCAAGAAATGACACAGTCTCTGCTTGAGGAAGACCAGGAAATCGCCGAGAACATTCAGAATCGGATATTCTACGAAGAAACAACTCATGACCGTGTGCTTGCTATTATGCGTGAGTACAAAGGTCAAGGATTTGGTTATCTGGATGCATGCACAGAACTTTCGCATGTTTTTTTGCGTATGCTGGAGCGATACTCTAAGGAGAATGTCGACATGCAAGTGCGATCTCGGCGGCGATCTCGGCGCAAAAACATAGAAGCTCAAGGAGCTGCACCCGAAGATAACAACGAAGAGCATGCATCCGATGGTGAGGACATAATGGAGGCAGAACGAATTTGTAGGGAGCGTAAGTTCGACTTCAAGCGCTTTGCTGCCAAGTTTTGCAACCAAAAGTGTGTTGACACTTTCGTTGCTTTCACAAAGTTCTTTAGGGAACTTAATTCGAATCAATTAAAACGTGCCCATCGCTATTTCTATAGGGTCGCCTTCAAACAAGACATGAGCGTCTTGTTGTTTCGCGTTGATATACTCAATCTTTTTTACACAATGATTAAAGGACCTGGCGCCATGGATTCAAGCAAACCAATCTTCAAGGAGTGGGAAGAGCTGGTCCGACAGGTCATCAGACGAATGATAAAGAAGATCGACCAGCGTCCCGCTCTTATTACCGAGTTGCTCTTCAGCAAAATGAACTCGACATTATTCTACCTGGAATATGGCCATGAGAGACAAACCCTACCCTCGGTGAGAAGGGCGCCAGCTGAGCTTGAGGTCAATCCCAGTGAAGCAACAACGCAAGAGGAAAAGATAAACGTTGTAATTGGTGCACTAGTCATGGATGGGCAGGCCGATTTGGTTGCATGGGTTAGCAATGTGTTAGGCACGGCGGTGGAAGAAAGAGAGTCATGGGAAGCCCATGACGAGGCTCAGAGAGACGAGGCTCAGAGAGACGAGGCTCAGAGAGACGAGGCTCAGAGAGCACCAAGAGCTCCTAACCCGATGATTGGTATGTAAACCAGACCTGTTCTTGATGCTCGATGTTCTAACTTATACAAGCCGTCCAACCTCACGACGATGCATGTAAACAGGCGATGTACTTCAACGCTAAGCTACGTCTCCTTATGACTTTAGTAGGATTTGAGCGACTGGGAATGGAAGATGTTGTCGGAGCTTCCTGGGTTGTGCCGTCGTCGCAGGGGTCAAAAGATCTTCAAGGCATTAAATCGACAATCGATAAATGTCTTGAAGATCCATACACAGGAGACATTGAGCATGATCCTCGGCAGATGCTTCGGCGCAAATACAAACCCGATGATAAGGAGCACAATCGCCAAACTACACTTAATGTTGACTTTGGATCTGAGTCAGAGGGTGAAGATGTCCCGGATGGGCCACTTTTCCCCCCAAACCCCCGGTCCAAAGCGAACGCGCTCAATAATTTGAAAAAGCGGCGCAAGAATCGCGAAGGAGTTGATGAGCGCGAGCCGATAGACGAGGGTACTCTAGAAGCGCGTCGCAAGGCGCGTCAGGAGAACACCCAAGCCCGTCTAGCCAAGATCAAGAGTGAACTGTTCGTTCACGCCAGCGATGACGAATCCGACGAGGAGGCCGACAAGGAGTTCTTTGATCTCGAGGAGAAAAGGCGAAAAGAACAAGCTGCGCGAGTCAGAAAGGCTTTGCTTACTGGCGTTGTAGATGAGATTGGCCGTAAAGCGAACAAAAAGAGCGAACGCAAGCGACTAAGCAATCCTGGGAATTCTGACTCGCGAAGTAAACGGCAACGGCACGGTCAAACAACAGAAGCACTCGACGAAGATGATGACATTACTATGGGTGGTGGTGCTGTTGCTCGCTCGCCTGGCCATGCGACTGAAGACGAAGAAGGCACTCCTGCCACGTCAGATGAAAGTGATGAGTTTGATTTCGACGACAATCTAGCCTTCCGTCGAGATCGGAATCTAGACAAGGAGCCAGAACCACCTAGTCTCGAGGAAGACATGCAACCAAGCGGTACGCCTGAGCCAAAAGACAATGACGAGAGCGCCCCGGTGGCTACATTGGCTCGAAGGCGGTTGCGTGCGGGGTTTGTGATTGATAGCGACTCTGAATAAGCTCTCTTGATTTGCCTCTAGTCCTTTTGAGATACTATTGCCCTGTAATGACCTAATGATGCTTGGCGTTTTGGAGATAGATCTGGGAATGTATATGGCATGCAAAACTTGTGATAGTACACTACTGCCGCGCAGACAGAGCAATCCTTTGGATGGATTATGAAAGTGAAAGCATGCATAAGTCGATGTTAATGACTATAAGAATTCGAGAGACAATGCATTCCCTTCACACTGGTTTATTGCTTTTTCCCGGTGTCCTCTAACCCATGCCCTAGCAACCACTTACACAGAGTCATGTTGCTTCTTTCTCGCTTTCCACTATACGTTGAGTTCCCCTCCATCAAAACAATGGCTTTTACTTATAACATAGAGAAGGGTTTGTTTTCCTCTAACTCATAGCAGTCCTTGTTCCACATCTAACCGGCAAACTACCCCTCACCCTCCATTTCACATCATTTCGACACCCTCCAGAAGCATACTGAAACAGCTATGAGGGAAAAGCGAAACCGCAAGTCGTCCCTGATGGGCTCTCTACAGATTCTCAGGAGCAGATTCGGTGTGCGACACGAACAATGGGAACTCGAGGACAACAAACACATACCCGATGGGAGCAACACCCACAGAGAAGCACGTAGGAGCAATCCGCTTCCACCCCTCAATACCAGCGTCTGTCATTCATCCCAAAGGCAACCTATCATCCATACCTGCCGCCAAACTTTCATGCCACTATCTGGAAAAAACTCATCGAGATACAACAATTTCAACAACGGCCCAAGAGGCCTTGACATCAGTAGTAGTAGGTTGCAGGAGCAGGAGTCCAACTTGCGGGCCCAGCATAAAGTCTCGTCTTCCCAATGTCAGACAAGCCTACGGTACTCTTCGACACAATTATTCTCAAGAATTCCGACACCTGCAAAATCCCCGGTAGGGGATCTGTACTCCCATGAAGTTTATCGAAAAGAAGGCAGAAGAAGTGTGCTATCTTCCTTGGGGAGACAATGTGTGGACGTGGACAAAGACGCGGACACCGTTTACGAAGCGAATCTGGATAACGAAGATGAACGGAAAGATTTCATCCGCCGTAAGGATACACAGAGACTCAGTCCTGAAAGAAACATGTTCGACACCGAGGCGACTTCAAACCCTAGGCTTCAGATCCGAACTCACCACCAGAGAACCAGCGATGGTCAAAGAGCTACAAGAGGATTATCCTCAGGGGTATTTTCTAACAGCATACATGCAGCAAAATATACACCTGTCCCTTGTGTCAATGTACTAAGGACCGGCCGCCCACGCAACTTGGCGGCATCTCCTGATGCCAGAAGTCGACCGGCCACTCGACTGTTCGATCCTACATCAGCACTCATATCACGGCTTGAGACAGGAGCACAGAGGAATAATTGCATCAAGAATGACCACCTCCGTGCCAGTAACCCGATTTCCGGGTCTGTCAAGGTGCCATCCTTGAGGAAAGAGCGAGTTGAATACCACACTGTTCCCAAGGGAGAGTTGCCAACACAACATCCGTTGTTGGAGGATTTTCAACCTGCGAACCCAAAAGTGATGGACGGCACACTCCAAAAAAGTGACAAAATGGAATACGTAAAAAAGAGTCTTCGATGGACGAACGGCCTCGAGAACCTGAAGCTTGATACCAGAACAAAAACCGATTCATTTTCACCAGCTAGCCGTCCTAAGGCCCCGAGCCGAAGTGCTACAAGGTTAAGACCCCTACCAGACACAGGGAATACACGGCATAGGGATCAAATTGGGAGAATGGTATTGTCGAGGAACCACCCCAATGGATTCCGTTCGAAGTTGAAGAAGCCAGGGCTAACAATCCATGCCGACTGGGTTTCGCAGGTCAGTGAATCTCAGCCTCAACAGTACTGGCTCGGTAGATTCGTCACCCTCGTCAATGCTTTCCACTATGAAGACTCCTTCCATGAGCCGGACATAGCAACGGGATTCGGCATGTTGTCAAGTTATTCTCGCCCGTTGGGGCATCCGGATTCAAACGAGGCGGGTTACCGGATCAAACGAGCCTTCATGGTTCTCGAAAATGTTTGTATGAATGATGAAGCGAGCGCGAGTCTACGGAAGTTCCGATACGATTACATTAACAAATTTGGTGATAGATGGATGGTATGATGCTCTATTGTTGGCACACCGAAAGAACGGTGGTCGCAGGTATTGACTTGGATCGCCACCAAGTACGAAACGGATCGAGGCGCCCATGGTCGAGAATGTCTATCTGCAATCCCTGGTGAAGGCTTGTCGCTTCCTCGCCAGTATGATGAAACCTGTTCTGCTGGCATTAAATGAATACAGCCTGGCTAGAGATATTCTGGCTGTAGTACTATGGACGGCCCCAGAATTACTAGGACCCTGGGGGGGACGCACTTGTTCACTATCTAGGAGCTGGGAGGTCTTGTTTATGGTATAGGGGAGTTACGGATTGATAAAAGTATGGTTGTAATGCTCCTGGAAGCTCGACAGGGTCTTTATTAGAATGGAACTACCACCTATACAACATATGTGACGAGAACCCCGGTGTAACATGCTAAATTCAATCGTTTTCGCAGATTGCCCATTAACGCCAGATTTGCACCAAACCACTTTGCGCCTCTTTAAAACATCATCTGTCCTGGATGCTAATGCCAACCATGCCCCAATCCGTGTTTTACACTAATCTATTTCCTACTCCTCAAGAATGCTGCAACTTGCTCATGCCTTGTTACAAAGAACATCCGCTTTCGATCTGATTTCCAGACGAGAACTCCGATCTCTTCAGCGTACCGACATGGAGCCTCATATTCTGCCAAACTAACGAAGTCCTTGAACAAAAAGCCAGGGGTTGCTTTGACGCGATCTCGTTCCAGTTGCCAAAGCCGAATCTGATCAGTGACCGTGGGGGGCAGAACGGATGGCGGTATTCCAGCCTGATTGGACGTAGATCGGGAGACATTGTGTTTGCGCATCTGAGGGTGAGCGTGGGTAGCCAGATACGAGATGATTTGGTCGGCAGTGATACCCATCTCTATGGCGCGGCGTACCGACTGGCGGGTAATTTTCCCAGTAATCAGGTTGGGAAAGCGATATTTAAGTGTAGTAAAAAGTGCAATAAGAGAGATTTGTAGCGGCGAAGAGGTATATGCATACAGTCGGTAGTTTGTTTCGACGATGATGAATCCAGATCCCCCCTTGTTTAAGCCTGTGCCAGAGGGGCCGGAGAGGGAGCCTGAAATGGGGTTGCTCAAAGCGCTGGAGTCGGAGGTAAGCGTAGTGGCGAGACGAGTGGGATAGAAATGACTGGCATCCGGGGAATCTTGGTAGACAATGCCAAAATCCGCCAGATCCGTCAGAGTACGGAGTTGGTTAGAAGTCAGATGCTTCTTATCGTATGATTTTCCAAGCTCCAAGCTGCTCAGCAAGAAAACAAACGAGAGGACCTCCACACTGCTCATTCCGATGGCGTCCGCGCTTTCAACATAGAGCATAAGGATGTGCCAAACTTGGGTGCTGACATCCTGTAGAACAAACGCGAATCCATCTTGTGTGATCTCCACACGACGATCTCGAATTTCGACAAGGTGCCCAGCCTGCAAAAGTTGCTTCACACCTTTGCTGAGGTTGACATCACGCTGAATACCAAGTCCACTAGTTCCAACCATGTATCCTAATACCCCCTCCCACTGACGCCGGGCGTATTCGTCCAGTTCAGCTATGGAAATGGCTGCTCCATCTGATATATGCGAGAGTACACCAAAGGACTGCGTCTTTTCAGCGCCTGTCAGAGCTTGGCGGAGCGATGAGGCAAACGGATCGGTAACTTTGTACGCGCGAACATTGTCTGCGATCACTGTGTTGGATAGAATATGGAGTCGGCCCAGGATTGACAATGCATTATCTCGCTCCCTTCAAACGATAGAGCCCGTCAGCCATCCAATCCGCAAATCAGAGGGTTCGAGGGTTTTCAAAGCCACCACTCACTTCAAGCTTTCTGCTTTGACCCAGGCCTCTAGATCTGTTGCTGGCAGAGGGTCTTTGAGATATAGGAGTGCCATGACGAAACATTTTGCTAGATTATCCGTTATTTCCAATTACCATAAGGTATTTCAAGAGTAGGAGCGAGTGCGTACCCAGGTCAGGCAACATGCGCCTGAAGATGGCGAGGGCGGTGGATGGCTGCTGGTAGAGCTTGTAGAAAGTAGTTCCAGGCAAACTTTCCAGATAATCAAATGGACGGGAGGGAGCGGCGGCCATGGCCATATTGCCTGCGGGTAAAATAAAAGCTGTCACCTCAGCAACATGATGTGAGCCACAAAGGTTGGCTGAGGCGTGATATACGAGAGATTAATGATGATGGGTATGGATAAGATTTGCTCCGGTGACCAAAGCGGCTTCGGAGCGCAGTCCGAGGTGATCATCACACGGGACTTGTCTGTATAACGAACTACTATATTCTTGTCTCCGCAACCTTCTCCTTTCTTTTTCGCCTATAGCTTCCTTGATAAAATGACAGCTTTGCGGTTCGTTAGATCGGTAAGAAACTACGACTACTATTGCTTCATTCCTTCAACTGATGTTATTGTTCCCCCCCCCTAGGTTTGGGAGTCCTTTCGGGCTACATCGGGGCTGGAGCCTCGGTAAGTGACAGAATCCATGGCTATGAAGAGGTTTGTTACTGAAACTTTGATCGCTGTGAAAGACTATTGGATAATGTAAGGTCTATCATACCTCAACTGCCTATCTCTATAAGCTACAGTGACAGCAATTATAATGAAGAATGATAATGGAATTATATATTCCCTTGGCTTTCGTAAGCATTGACCACAAGCCGGGGTTGTACTAACGGTTCCAGCTTCGTGTGACTGCCGCAAAGCCTGGTCTGGTGAACTTTGAGCTAGATATACAGAAAGAGCATACGGTAAGGGTTCAATCTAGAGTAGGCCGACCCAATCGACTAACCTTCGGGACAGAATCGTCTGAACATTCTCCATGGCGGTACTATTGCTAGTATGGGTATGCAAGCATGACCACATATTTTACCTGTCTCATCCTGGCCATCCCACTTACAAACTTGCATTGATTTTGCAGTGGATCTTGGTGGTTCTCTAGCTGTCGCTTCCCGTGGCCTGTTTGCTACGGGAGTGTCGACCGATCTCAATGGTAAGCTACATCCCAAGCCACTCTTTGAGATGGATGTCCAATGTACAGGATGAGTCTCTGACCGTCTATTTAGTGACGTATCTAAGCTCTGGAGGTAAAGTAGGAGATAAAATTTTGGCTGTATGTTATTAAAGACCCCATGCCTGGCAATTAACAAGCCCAACATTTAGCTGCTGGATCTGTGCATGCTAATATCGCTACAGGAAGCTAGCTGTGATAAATGTAGGTTCCCCAGCTATCAATACATCAACCCAATCATACGGGTCGTATAGATACATTCATAGTCGCCTTTTCCTTTTTTCTTTTTTCGTTTTTCTTTTTTCTTTTTCCTTTTTTCAGTCACTAAATACAATGTCTAACTCATATAACAGTCGGCAAAACGCTCGCATATACATCTATCAAATTCATCAACAGCAAAGGCGAAATTGTTGCCAGAGGAAGTCACACCAAGTATGTATCCTTTACGCGATGCAACCACATCGGAGGATACGACCTGTGCTAATCCTCCAATAGATATATTGCACTCGCCTGGAAGGACCCGCAGAACATCGTCGAGGAGCTTGGCGGGCGTTAGTCATGAACGGAGAGTGTTATATTGTGAAGACTAAACATCCGTCATTCACCTATATATACTTGGACCCTACTAGTGACGCAAGCGCTGTTATATATAGGCAGTATAAACGCTAGTGGTTGACCTTCCCTGCAACCTACGAGTTCTTCAAGCATCTCGCATATATTAAGATAGCCGTGGGGCTTTCTGCAAGCTATCCATAGAACGAGAGCGTTATCAGATACACATTGCAAGACCGTTTCACTGTAGTATGCTGCCAATAAAAATCAGAACTCGAACAGTCATTTCCCAACCTATTCGGGTTTGAGATTCCGCCATTTTTATTCTTATACCAACAATCATGATAACACGAAGACAGACGTGATACAACGTCACAATCACTGAGCATTCTACAGCTATTCGGAACCCATGGTCTCACGATCCTCAATCCTATGACCCTGTATACAAGACCAAAAAGCACTTGTGTTAGTTGAAATGCAAGGGATCTAGACCCCGGTGAAGACGTGCTCGTGTAGAGGGTCTTCATCTGGTTCGTCACCTGCACCAAGCATGACCTCGTCCTCATCCACTAGACCCTCTTCACAATTGGGCATTGCGTCCTCAACCATGATATCTTGCTCTCCTATTGCCTTGAGCTTAGCCTGGGTCATTTCAAACACGTATTGGCCAAGATGTTCCACTCCTTCCATTGGCGTGCCTTGAACCTCGTCGTCCAGCGATCGCGTGGTTGGGAACATTTCGCCTGGGGCAAGCATGAGCTTATCAGGGCGTTGAAATAATAGGTCAAATGCTGGCTTAAGCTCATAGCACGACTCAAAGACCTCGCGCCGACCGAGTATGTAGAGGCCCAAACGGGCACGAGAAAGTGCAACCGTTAGACGACGGACATCACGTAAGTAACCAACCGTACGAGTTCTTGTGAGCGAGAGAATTACATCTGTAGCTCTAAGTTAGTAAAGGGCTTCGCAAAAAAAAAAAAAATTACCGAAGAGATAAATGAGATTCGACTTACAGTCGTTTTGTTCGCCCTGATACTTGTCCACGGTAGTCACGATCTTGGGCATTCCGAACAAGGCATTCTTGGCGCATCGGTGGTTCAAGACATCCCTTATCAGCGCTGTTTGTCCCGCATATGTGGCAAGGATGGATATCTTCGACGCTGGGTAGCCAAGCAACCGCATGTATTGGTAGAGGGCTACGGCATATTCTGCTTCACCCAGGTTTTGAATGAAATGAGGAGTGGGTTCCCGTTCACCTGCACCCTGGTAATCAGGAACGTTGATGAATTGGTAATCGAACTGGAACCCAGAATTCGCCTGCTTGAACTCATCGGCTGTCTCAACGACTGATAAATCTCCCAGTTGCTTATAACGCCAACGAAATAGTTCTGCAATGCTACGCCTCGAACGACCCTGCTGATCAAGTGTAATTACAGGGACACCCAGTCTTACCAGGCGAAGGAAAAGACTCTGTTCAAAATGCGCGTACTGCCGGAATGCAAGGTTTTGGATGATTGGGGAATTCTGGAGATGATCGCCGCAGAGTACCACGCGTTTCAACGAGAGCTGGCCACCCTTCATTGTTTGCAAGGCGGAGGGAATGAAACTTTCGATCTCCGTGATCTGCGCGGCTTCTTCCATCACAACATTGTCATAGTGAAAGCCAAGATCAGCAATCTCCTGGCGGCGCATTGCTGCATGTGTGGAAGTCATTGCAATGATCCTGGCCTCCTTCACCAGGAGGTAATTAGCCTTATCTTTCGGTTGCCGCAAGATCTCAAACGGCCGGATATCTTCTAGCTCTGAGAATATCTTGTCGATGTGCCGCTGGCAACCTTCTGCTACATCTAGCACTGCTTCCTTAGGACTCGAAGAGTCGAATACGGGCTGTGGGGCATTGGAAAAGTAAGCATGGAATGGGAAAGCTGCAATGATCTCTTCGAGAGAGATATTTTCGGTGCGGGCCTGGTCCCAAAACTTTGCCCATGCAGGCTGGATGTATACAGTGTTGAAATATCCGGCGGTCTCGCAGGAGTTTCCATGGGCGCCCTGCGCTCCAATTGATGATGCTAACCGTGTAACTTCAGAGAGATAATAGTTACGGTTATCGAGGAAAGATTCAACCCGGCCATATTTGCTATAGCTTGACTCGGTCTCTAACTCTTCTTCCCCGTGGCCAAGACGCAAAAGGTGGCGTTCGTCGATATCCAGTGCAACTATCTTTTGGAAAAGTTGGTTTAACGCCTGGTTGCTGTGCGCAACCAAAAGCGTGCGCTCATTGGGGAAATCATGGTAAATGTTATTGATTATTTGCGTTGCAACATCCGTCTTTCCGGTTCCGGGAGGTCCGACAATAATAGTCAACCCAGGTTGTGTCCCAGATGCGATAGCTTCCACCTGAGCTGGTGTAAACCGGACAGAGTTTAGTTTGGGCGCATCGACAGGGTAAGGGCCTGGATTAGGCGGCTTATATGTTGAAACGCGAAGTGAGTAGGAGGACGATTTGTCCTTCTCGGTTTGATCTCTCCGCCGCTTCTTGGAGGCATTCGTCGAAGGCGATTTTTGGGAATCTTCAACATATTCAAGCACATATGGGGGTCCGAAGCTTGATGTCTCCTCGCCAGAAGGCTCAATTGTTGTCCCCGGGAAGCTCTCTACCAGATGCTGCCAGTCCAAGAACGTATCGCGAAAATCGACTGACTTGAGTCTGTTCGGCAATTCTGTGTAACGGGCCCCTGCAGGGTCCCCATAACCCAAAAAGATGTCCTGGAGCCAGGAAGGAAGAGTAATGTCGGAGACAATGAGCCTTTGCATAGTCTCCAGTATAGACTTGAAATTGTTTTCCCTTCCCTTTCTCCTTGCGACTACATTGACCAACGGATAGATATCTGGCTTTCCATGCATGCTGCGATCTTTATCCGCTTTGAAGGCATCAGGGTCAAGGTTAACCAAAAGTCTCCTTATACGTGGCCTCGATCGATGGCCATTGGTCTGCCCCGAGATGGGTTCGCGCAATGGACGGCCATTTTCATCAAGTACCTGCACAATTTCCGCTGTCCTGAGGTGCGTTAGGCTGGGGCTATCAATTGCGGTGGGGTCCTGAAACGCCAATTTGTTTGCAGCGCCAGGCTGTACAGCTAAAAGGAAAACCACGTCATCGGGGCGGAGCGACTCCCATTCCATTCGGACGTGGTCTGCCAGCCTGCCAACCTCGATCACGATTTCAGCTCGCACAAAAGCTGGGTTGGTGAAGCCAACCTTCGGGGGCGCAACCTCGATGATAGCAGGCTTCGAAATAGGGATAGCCATCCGGGAAAACCCATCAAAAGTCAGACTTTTGCCGTCTCGACTGACTCGGGGCTGCATACGCTTGACAATCGTTTCCATATCTTTGCGAATCTGGAAGAAGGCTTCAGATCGATACAAGAGAAACGAGCGCCATAGAAAATCCCCCAGGCTCAAGTATTGGAGGTTCAACTTTGGAATTGCAAGTGGCCTAGATCCGTCATAGGCTTCATTCCGCAGTAAAGCTGGGTCGTAAAGGTTTTCTTCTGTCGGAACAACACTTAGGCGCGATACAACATCCTGGAATGGTGCCTTGCGCTCGTAAAAGGACAAGAGTATTTCTAGATACAGATGGCGATCGGGCGTGATTTGACATTGCTTTGGGTAATCTGTCCGAAATCCCAGGTGTGAACAAAGGCTTCGGAGCTCAGAGTCATCTAAGGAAGATAGCTGCCCTTCCAGCTCCGGACGTTGCTCAATTGAACCATAATTCGACAAAGCTAGAATCATCAATTTGTCCTTAAAGTATTTCATGGAAGTTCGCTGCAAGTGGGCTAGCTCCTGGCAGTGAGTATCATACACTGCCTGAGGTGACATACTCTCTCCTGTATAATCGTCAATTGAAAATGTAGCGAAATGTTTTAATAGATTATGCAAGTCACGGAATAGCGCATTCTCCGAATAACGGTAGAGCTCCGATAAACGAATTACCGGTAGGATATTGAGGTCTTTCAGCAACGTGTTGACATATCGTCGCGTGGGAAGTTGACTTTCTAAGTCCACTAAAAATTCAAGAAACCTCTCACAGTAACGCAGGTTATCCACCTGGTCTTTGTCGGCGCCGTTCAATCTCTGAAGAAAATCGAGAAGCATTGTGTAGAGCCATGACCGGTCAAACCTCATCTTCGCTTTGGCCGCTTCGTCTGCTGCGTCATATCGCTTCGCGGCAGCTCTCCACGCTTTCTTCAACGTTGGGCCCTTTCCGAGCACCTGTTCTCGTGCATCGTCACTCGAGAGATTGTGCCAAATTGATATAGAAACCAGAGGTGCACATTCCTTTCGTATCAAAACATTCTCGAGGGATTGGAAGGAGCTAATAATGAAGGATACGATGGACAGGCGCGACGATGTAAGAAGGGACTGGTCGATACTCATGGAGAGAATTCGATGGAAAAGGTTGGAAAAGTCATCCGGTCGGTCAGAGAAGATGTCTGGATGTTCTGTGAATAACTCGCACAGGATTGACAATACGTAGGAGTAAGGTAAACTCACCCCATATTGGTAGATGTTCCCGCTGTTTGACAGTGACGATTAGCGCCAGCAGCAACACATGGTAGTTCGAGGCGTCTTCTGTGTAGGTCGGCCAAAGGAACCTAATGGTCGGTTAGTCGAGGCATTACATCACGAAGCGTTTCGAGTGCATGCGCACTTTTCTAAAATATTCAAATTTTCCAACGTTAGAAGCGAGCGAAAGCTGAAATTATCTGCTTCGAGAGGGTCCCATATATCCTTCTTGATGACATCCTGCTTGACTTTCCGGACCTTGGATGTCTCGAGCCAGTGAGTTTTGGCTAACTGCACCCACACGCTGTCATCGCGAAAATCTTCAACGGTGGGCCTGGAATCAAGGCCGTGCGCCATTGCCTGACGTGATTGTAGGCCCATTCCTTGACGTTAAATTTGTATAAAAAAGGACTCCGCGCCCGAGTCGGATTTATCTGCGCAAGTGGTCCGTTGCGGCGGGATGGGAAAGCTTCTGGCGCGCGGCTAAGGAAGTTGCTTCCAGCGGCTAGAACCCGCAGAGCCGCAGCCATGGCCCCGTGATCCTTTGTTGTATCGGAAGCTCCTTACACAGCACAATCTCCACGTCTCCTTTATCCCATCCTTACTTGGATTTGTTGTCCGCAAGGATGGCCGACGAAGATGTTGAATCGATACACGTCTATAGGAGATTAGTTGATAATCTTCTTACTCGAGCCGAACTAGTCAAACCGGATAAGCAAATCGAACCTCCGTTGACAGAAACACACCTCGGAGAAGCGATCTGGAAAGTCGAAGGCGATGATGAGCAGGTCACGAGTCGGCTTAGCCAACAGACGCAATTTGCTGCAGTTGAAATTGCATTCAGGGAGAGGTTTTACAGTCTGCTTGTAAGTGGCTTCAATGTTGCGATTGTCTTCCTGGCTATCCATGGAGTTCAGTCATGGCTAATTGGCACTTTATGAAGGCCACTACATCCATAGATGAGCCGTCCTTTATACAAATATGGAATTTGCTCGACATAATCTCAATCTTTTCGGACAATGGTTCGTTTGGAATTTGGTCTCGCGGCCTAGATGGTATCCTGACGTGTCCGCAGAACAGTGTGAGCCCGGTCTTATATTTTGGCTGATTGAGGAATTACTTGATAGCCAAACTATTGATGGCTGTCGCAAAGTTTTTGACTACCTCGAGTCTCGGAGAGAACGAAATACTAAAGTAGGTGCAACTCGAAATCCTCTCTAGTGCAACTATTTGACACCGCAGAAGAAACACTTTAAGCAGAAAAGTTTGATCATTCTGAGATCCTGCAACGAATTGCTGCGGAGGCTTTCACGAGCCGAAGATACTGTATTTTGTGGACGTGTCTTTATTTTCCTCTTCCAGAGTTTCCCGCTAGGAGACAAGAGCGCCGTCAATCTGCGGGGCGAATATCATACCGAGAATGTCACTACTTACGACGAAATCCCTGAACCCGACACCATCATGCCAGATGATGCGGATGTGGTAATGTCTGACGAGCAGAGACCGTCAACGACCATTGAAAGCCAACAAGAAAACAACAATACTGAACCGCCGTCTCTCGCGGATCCTCAGGCCCCTGTTCAAGATCAACCGGCAGCCCCGAAAGTCATCATTTCGCAAGATGAAGGTGTTGATGAGAAGGCGAACGATTTGAACAAGCTCTACCCTATGTTCTGGGGCCTCCAGGCGTATTTCTCTGCCCCAACAAAGATATTCGATCCTCAACACTTCACCACATTCAGGACGGGACTTGAGGCTACTCTTTCTGCCTTCAAATCAGTTAACACAGACCTTGAAAGTTCAGGCACGAGCAAGACGTCTGAAGAGCTTCGAAAATCCAACAAACGGAAGAGAACTGCGGACGGCCAAGAAATTGCGAGTAGTTTCAACCCGAAGTATCTGACAAGCAGGGATCTATTTGACCTTGAGGTAGGTTCTTTGCTTGGCTTTCTTTCGGTAGCTTGTGCTAACTCTTATATGTAGGTCAATGACACAGCCTTTCGGAGGCATGTTCTGGTTCAGGCGCTTATTCTCTTGGATTTCATGCTCTCGCTTACTCCTAAGGCAAAAGCAAAGCTAGCCGAGTTGACTAACAAATCTGTACTCTACGGTTTTGTGTTGAATGAGGACGATGTAGGGACACCCACCGATACTTAGATTCATGGACACTGTTAACAGTTGCAGGCTAAATGGGCAGTCAAGATGAGAAAGGCGATAGAAGAGTATTTGCAGGAAGGCGTTGGTGGAAAATTCTACTATCGAATGGTGGACACCGTTTTGTCGAGGGACAAGAATTGGGTTCGTTGGAAAGCCGAAGGTTGTCCATTGATTGAGAGACCTCCTGTTTCCGTATCGGACTACCTCGGTGCTCGTGAGTATGCAACTAAAGTCTACGCCAACAAGCGCCTTCGGTCTTCACCCATGGGTTCGCTAAATTTGAACTTCCTCTCCGAAGGCGAATCACTAGCAGGTCTTAAAAGGCTTAAGGAACCTCAAAGGTAAGCGCACCCACGGATCATTGGAAACCTGATTAGTTGCCAGCTAACAATATCGAAGGTTCACGGTACCTTCCTCTGATTCGTTTATGATGGGTATAATGGACGATGAGTTAGACATGGATACTGCCCAGACAAAGGAGGATAAAGAGAACGCGACACGCGCTAAAGCGAGCAAGACTTGGCGTATATTAAGACTTTCCGCTAAAAGCAAGCTCGCAGCGTTCGACAAGATTGAGGATGGCAAAAATCTAAAGCTGCTTTTTGAGACCCCACAGCCTTCCGAAGGCACTCCCCAAGTTCTTGAAGGCACCCCTCAGGCCCATGAGACGATGACGAAAATCTCGGCCGAGGGCGAGTCTGGTGGTTTGGGGCATGATCATGGGCCTGCCAGCTCCGAACAAGCGAATGCCACCATTGCCACCGAGAAAAGTTCAGCGGATTCGAAGGATGCAGCAGCAGCAGGCACATGAAGAACGCCACACATGCGGCCAGAGAACGCATTATCATGATTGGCTCTCGTTGGCGCCGAAGAACGAACCCCTACGGTCGTGATGGATGCTGAATTCGATACACCATTTGATGATTTCATGTGCTTGTATGCGTCACTGTCACAACGCTATGCAGGATTCCTGCAGTATCGTAAAATATGAAAGGGACATTTAGTATGCGGACTGAGTTTTCTAAGAAGAGTTGGGGCGTGTTCATTATGACGAGACCTGAAATGGGAGATTACGGCGGGGGATCTTGGCCCTTTTGATTGGCCTCATTTTGATGACCCTCATCTGGCGTGCAGTTTAGTCCTCAGTGTGGCGACACCCGAAGTTTTCCCTCCGCCCTATTAGATACTCTGCAAGCAGGAGCAACTCTTAGGAGCTCATGGGGTCCCAACAGGGAGGCGGCAAAAGAGTAATGAGAGGGGTAAGGACATAGTAACGGTACTGCTGACCGGAAATTGAAGGTTTCCTGACAATCCACTTCGAGACCCAGGGAGGGGATTAATTCCTCGTAGTCTGAGGTGCGAGGATGAATTTGCCAGTGACCACGGTTGCTGAGAATGGCTTAGGGAGCGCGCCGCTTCTTTGGCAACGCGGACGGATAAGCTACGGGCGAGGGTCCGAATGTCTCGGGGATCAACAACTCTAATATTACATGGACGTACCTGCATAACCGTGGATCTCATTGTACAACCTATCCATCCATCTATTTATCTATCTGCTACGTAAGGATCGTAAGTATATCACCCGAACACACTGAACGATTTCTTACTCCTTACCTTAGAATGCCCCTTGATAGTAGCTGTCATGCGAGATTACAGTGAGATTACTGGGTCCAAGGGAATCCGGGTGATCTGATACGCCACGTTTCACCATCCTAACCCGATAGACGCTTGATCTCTCTGTCAACCTGATAGTTAACTTTCAAGTAAAATTACCCTAGGTAGAAGGTATGTATGTATTTGCAATCAAAGGAACAACTGTGTATATACATACTTAGGGTGTTTCCTTTGGTGGGGTGGGGGTGCCTATTTCGTATCAGTATCCGGGTATATCATCTTTCGGTTTGTGCTGGTTTTGTCCCAGTTCATCTCTTACACTTCTGCCTACGTCTTTGGGGTAATGATTACTACAGAGCCGAAGGGTCATGACTCGGCTCCGAACCATGGTGAAAGTGACCTGTATGCCAACTAGATTTTATAGTATCTCTCCAAGCGAGAGAGATCCCGGCTGAAAAGTTTAAAAAAAATAGTTTTGGTGACGGGGAAGCAAGTCCTCCACCGATAACGTTCGCATGCCAGTCGTTCGGTTCCTGTTCTAGAATTGCTTTTTAATTATTCTTCTTTTCGTCAGGGGCTCTTCAATCTATTATATTAAATCCGTGCAAGCAATAATAAATGAATGTACCTAGTAAATAACATAACAGAGAGCAGCAAGTAGGTTCAATACATACCTACCTAGGCACAGTATGTAAAGTACCTAGGTACAGAACCTACGGAGAGTGGATGTATAGGTGCAAAGCTTCTGATTCGTAGATCGAGGATATAGGCAGTTCCTCATTCGCCCTAGAGGACTAAGTGGTGGTCCAAAGATGGAATGTCAGGGCTAAACGACGTTTCACTGTTACCAACCGACCCGCACAGACACTTTTTCCACAATGGTTCCCGCAGGAACCTGCATCGGAGATGATACGTACCAATCGCGCAATTGATTTCATACCGACAGGGGTACCGCCATGGAAAAATACTATGAGGCCCTGATAAACTTTGGAGTGGTGTGTATATATGCATGTATACATGCATGCTATTATTTTTGTTGTTATTGTTTATTTCTCCTCGTTTCATTGCTCTTCCCTTTCGCTTACTTTTCTTTTGCTTTTCTCTTTTCCTGTTTCTTCCCCCCCCCCCTTTTTTTTTTTTTACCCGCCCGTCTTCTTCTACCCGGTTTCGTTTAGTTCTGTAGTACACAGTAACTTCATTGGACTCGGAACAATTTGGCCGAAATCTGGCACCCGAACCGCAGCGCCAATTGTTGGCTTGCGTAATGGGATCGATAGCAGTACCCACTTGTTAGCGGGAATTGTTTCCACCGTCCAACAGAAGCAGTAAGAGCCTTGAGACCTATGATGTAGTTTTCTGTTGATTCGAACTGCAGTCCGTAGAGACCGAATGAAATTAGAAGGGGCCGCCAGCATTCTTGGCATCCACGAGAAGCCTTGAAAGAGATTAAAGTTGCTCCTCCCCATCCTTCTCACCCACTCACCTTCGATCGGCCGCGATTCCTGGGATCTCCTTCCCCGCACCCACACGATGGGAATGAATGTTGATTACTCTCTTCAGCTGTGATCGTCCTCAAGCCCTCAGAGGATGATCCACTCGACGCTTACTTTTTCACAATGTGGCTCTTGCATTCCAGCTGAAAGTCATGCCACTTCTCATCTCCATATATCCACATCGATGTAAGCGATTCCTATCCTCTCTCCCCCCACTTATCGGGTATACCGAACAAGTATCCCTAGAGAACGTCCGTTTTCAGATTTTTTGGTGGAAAGGGTGGGGTTAGGGGGTGGGGATTAAGAAGATAAAAGGTGAAATGGAAGTAGGAATCGAAAAGAAGAAGAAATAATATTATTAATAAAAGAAAGGGGGAAAAAAAAGGAAAGGGAAAAAATAATAAATATCAATGCAATCGGAATCTCAATTGAAAGTTACTCAGTCCCGAGATTTTGCCTGGAACATCCAGTCGGGTATTTACTTAGTTCAAGACAGTCAGGAGTTGACCGAAGCTATTGCACTCAGCCATCATCACTACAAATCACTAAACCATACAGAGTACGGAGATACCTCCCCTTATTCCTCGATCGGGAATCATCCGGCGCGTTTATTGTTTTAAAAAGGTAGAGATATTAAATAATACTTAATGAAAAAAAAAAATTATATTAAAATCAGATCAAATAAAATAAAATAAAGGGAAGAGAAAATAAAATAAAATGAAAAGGGAAAAAAAAGAAAGAAATAAGAAAGTAAAAAGTAAAAACTTAAAAAGTGACAGAGGAAGAAGACATGGAAGAAAGAAAGCCAAGACAAACCGAGGAACCATTACGCCGTTTCGATCCTTTCCATAAGTAAGTTTCTGACTACTAGTAGCTGAGCGTTATGGCCAGCATCGGATGGGGATTAAACTCCGGTCTAGGTGGTCCTGGAACTATCCGAAGCATGATTTCCTCACCCTCTCTTGTTTTCCTTGGTGGCCTACGAGGCTACGACTTGTGTTGAGGGCATTCTAAGTATACAGATAGCTTTTGCATTAAGGCACAGAAATGCCTAGGTATGTACAATGCTATCTGTTAGCCACTAGGATTTAAGATCCCATCATCTGGGTAAAAATCTGGCATATACAGTACATACCCTACCAGTATCTTTAGGTAGTATAGTAGGCACCAGGGAATATTAAGGTACCGTACCGTACCGACTTACGAAGGACACGACTCATGCAATTTATGATAAAATTTATATTCATGCCAACTGACGTGAGTCAATTAGCTGCAGCCACTTCTGCATCCTCGGTAGTTGTGTTGATATTAATCACGGCGTGTAATAATATTACGGCTTCTTATTGATCATATTTAAATGCATACCATTACCCCCCTTACAACAATTTAAGATATAGAGATAAGTAGACAGACAAACAGACAGGCTTGCCTACATGAGTACATTTGTACATACATACGTTCATTCATAGGTACATACACCTTCATTGAGTGTGTACCTTGGGCTAACTTTCACTGTCGATTAACCCTAAATACCTAAAAGGTCAAGTCCTGCTCCTGACTCTCATTGCTGGATAAATGCCCCACTGTCGTTGTTTCCACCTGTCGGTTCCCCTATCTTCAGAACCTTTTTATTTTTTTTTTCCAAAACTTTTCTGTCCCTTTTTCCTTTTACTTATTCTTCCGTAAATCTTATTTCGGTTTCCGACATCTTATCTAATGTTCACGTATGTTACCTTTAATTTGCTTTGGGCCGTCAAAACAATACATTGGTTCTCATCTTCTTCTCTATCCACTTCCCTCCTCCAGTCTCATTTCCCTGAACTGTTTCATGCAAGTTGTCTCGGTGGAGCCAATGGAATCGTTTAGTCTCTCCCAGACAATTTGTCCCCCTCTTCCAAGTGGAGAGCACATGAGGCCGCCACTCAACCGAGTCAACCGTTGACTGCACGATTTTTAGCGTCACGCTCGGTTCAATGACCGTTCAGGTCGCCCAGTGCATGGTCCGCTCCCTGGCCTTTCCTGCGCTCGTCTTCAATAGCACTCTCTCTTCGGCCGCAGGAGGCTCGAAACTCGGAAACATTCTTCATTTTCTCCGCAAACCCTGGCCATCTCTTGAGCTATGCTGAGATAGGCATGGTGGTCTTACCTGCTGCTCCATCTGGTGGCCCTCTGGCTAACATAGTCCGAGAAGCTGTACGTACCACTCCTACGTATACGGTCGGTTCTGTCTTTTCTAAATTTCTACGCGCACCCTGGGATGGGCGTGTACCCGAGCGTGGTTGACAGCGGACCCGGCTAGTAACGGTCGATCGATCGTCCTTGTAGGTGGACTCGTCCTTTTCTCTGATAGACTAATACCCCATCCTGGGAAGGAGAATGAGGAACTTGTCCAACTTGAAACCAACGGTTATTTTAGATTTTCACCCGCCTCCTGCTTTTCCCTGACTCCCTGCGAACAACTTCTGCCCGAGAGAGTCACTTGCATGTGTATCCTCTTGGGATGGACGGATGGGAGGTGGGTAGCAGCTAAACTAAGTGGTTCTTAGGCTGAGGACTTGGTCCTTGATCTAACCCGGTCTCCGGCGGATTATGGAGCCAACGCACGACTAGCGCTGTCGGTAGCCCTTCCACATGGTGCACCAGTGCTCACTAAAACGACATTGGTGTCGGATGAGCTCCAGCCAACAAGGGTCTATTTACCCTT